AAGTCCAGGGTTGACTCAAGCTTGTTCACTGGACAGCTGTGCTTCGCAATATTTTCTGATTGGTCCAGTTCTACATTATTCCGTAATACAGCCACTTAGAGAAGGAGTCCAGCATGTCTGGGAGTTCAAATGTTTCCTTGGTATTCTATTAATTATTCTGTGGTATTATAAATTGTCCTTTGTGGGAGATCTGATCCTAAGCACTTTACGGGATCCTTTCAAGATTTATTCCAAGCTCTTATTTGAAGGCTGGACATTAGACTTGTCTGCAGTAATGTTTAGCACTTTTCTTAGATGGCCCCAGTGTCTTACAGATTGAAATTCCAGCTCCTGCATGTTAAACATAGTTTTTAGCCTCTCTGTGGTTTAGTTGCCTGCTTTGTAAATAAGGGATAATAGCCAATGGAGTTTTGAAATCTTGAGAACTCTTTCAAGCTTTTGTACAAGAAAGTAAGTGGAAAATATTCCAGTTTTACATGATGAGTAAACAGGCTCTGTCCTTTTCCTAAACATCGAGAAAAAGTGTCCTCTGTTTTTTAAACACATGGGCCCTGAAGTCCTTTTGTGCGAATCATCAGTGGATAAATAGAACACAAAGGGTAGGTTTGCAGTTTGTCACCTGACATGAAAACGGGATTTGACACAGGTATGATTGCTCCACATGTGACTGGGAAGGGCCTGGGCAGCCAACCAGCCACCCTGGCTTTTGTGCAGCTGGGTGTTTTCTCTGTAGGTACCTTGTTGGGACTGATTTTCACATGGACACTGACCCAAGAATAGACTGCTCTCTGGCCCTGAGAGAGTGGACAGGCTCCATGTAGCACAGGCTGGTAGAGGACAGTGCCCACAAAGACTGTGGGCCCTTGTTGAGCATGGACTGCCCATGCTCTGGGTCTTTGTCTATCTCACCATAAGTTTCAGGGTCAGGTGTCACAGCTGATGTCCATGCCATCTTTGAGATCCAGGTACACCTGCACCTAACCAATGTATCCATCCTAGAGAACAGACGTGGCTTTTTGGAAGGCCAGATCATTGCCCAGCTCAGGGTAACATGTCCCTGCCCAGATGTGAAGAGGGCCAGGCCTAATTCAGTTATATGGGGCTTGAGTGTGTGAAGCCTGGAGAGGAGGAATAGGGGTAGCGGTGGGATCCTGAAGAAGGAAGCGCTTTCCTGCTGAAGATTGTGAGAGTCCTGTTTTTGTGAAGTAGGGAAGCATGTTGGGTACAGCAGAATATCGAGGAAGGAAAAACCTGTATCCACGCCTCACCCCCTTAGGGTCTTAGGGAATGGCTTTCTAAAGAACAGAATGCCATGTTAGATACTATGTAATGAGCTGTTGTTTATACAATTGTTTTAAGTGGTGGATCAAAATTCAGTTTGGAAGAGTCTTATACTCGGGCCCCTGCTCCTGGTGGCAGCCCTCTCCAATCCTGCCAGCTGGGCCATGTTCCTCTGGCCCCTGTTCCAGTAGCCCTAGAGATGTATCTGTTGGCCCCTCACACTGTCTTATCCCTGGCTTGTCTCCTTATCTCCTGTCTCATTAGACTGAGTTCTTAAGAATACGGATTGACCCACTTTCCTAGTGCCCGATGCTGTGCCTGGCTCATGTGGGTTCACACTGTATATTAGAAGACTGGGAGGTTAGAGAGGCAACCCGATCTCTACATTTTCCTCTTTAGCTTTCCCTTGTGAGTGCTAACTCATTTTTACACCTGTTTTCAAGACCCCTTTATAAAGGTTTTATTGCACCTCCAAATCAATTTTGAAGCCTTTGTCTCCCTGCAGCTGTTTTTCTTTGTCTTTTTCCTGTTTTTGAAGATCTGAGTTTTTCTGTCTCTTTTTCAAGCCTCTTGCTCCCTCTTTTCTTCCCTAGAACACGTCCAGTGCTTGGAGCTCCCCTGGTCCCTTTCCCTCCTCTGTGATCCTCGTTGCTTCTTGCCTGGCCTGTCACCGCAAACTCTATCACTGCTTTTTCTTTTTTGATATCTGACCTCTTAGACATTTGCTGAAGCTTGTTAATCTAAAATGTCTCCATATACCTGCAGTGTTGTAGGTGCTTAGGTACAGTGTTGAGAAGGTGGGGCCAGACCTCCTACTGATACTAGTCTCTTCTGGTGTATTGTTGGAGTCTTCACTTTGAAGTCAGTACTCACACCGGTGGGGTGGTGGGGAGTATTGCTGGTTCCTTGGTTGACATTCAAGTCCTTCTACGATCTTGTTCATTCATCCCTCTTTCCCACTTTTGTCCTGTGGCTCCCTTTCATGCATTCTAGCCAAACTGTACATTCCAGCCAAACTGGTGTGTATCCTGTCATTCCCAACCTCTTCATTTGTCATCATCACCAGGCTTCCAGGAGGGATGCCCTTCCCATCTTCCATGTCTCTCATGTCTAACTCTTGTTCTTTGTGATCAGTTCAGATGCCATCTCCCCCGTCCACCCACCCGGTAAGCTTTCCCTGCAGGTACCAAAATACGTTTAAGTGCCCATCGTTAACGTTAAGTGCATCCACCACTACAAAGTAAACAATGCCCTGCTCACCTTAAAAGTGTAGTGCTGATTTTTTTGCCTCTTACAGTATATATCATTTTGCTTTCCTGCAACCCATGTGTTGGCAAGTTCTTCATAGCTATCTTTGTGCCTGGTGCAGGGTAAGCCTGTAAGACTCTGATGAGGAACTGTCATCTATTATGACATTATTATCTAATGAGGGACACCTATTTCATGGCTTGCCCTGAGTTAAGCTCTTGTCCAGGTCTTGTCTCATTGAATCCTCTCAATAGACCTATAGCTGATGTTATTATCCATATTTTCCAGAGAGGAAACTGAGGCTGAAAGAGTAAGCAACTTGCCTAGGGTCAACCAGCTAGCATGTGGCAGAGATGAGTTTGGTACCCAGCCTTTCCCACCTTTTAACATTACATTTTGTGACCCTAATAAGAGGGATGTTACAATTCAAAATAGAATGGAAGAAAGTCATTGGTGAATACACATTTCTGAAGCTACTATCAATGCAGAAAGAACACTTCTAATTTTTTTAAGTCAGTGTCCAGCAGGTTTTAGCTGTACCCTTTACCAAGCATAGCTCACAGCTAGGGGCATCAAGATTGCGGAGGTGGAAAAGACAGCCAGAGAGAATTTATCTGCCCAGGCTCCTTCATGGCACTGATTTCCCTGGAGCTGGCATTTCAAGGTCCCCAAGCCAAGTAAATGGTACCCCAGAGGTTGGAGAAAGATAGCAAAATTGTCTCTTTGTCTCTGCATTTCTTCTTTAAACCCCAAACCTGTAAGAGATAATGACTGTCAGGTACAGTGCAGAGTCCTCCAGGGTCACAGAAATGAATGCGTCTCATCCAAGGGCTTCTGCCACAGTGGAAGTGGTGAAACTTATGAGTAAACAATCTTAATGTTCCAGAGCGGAGTTGCTGTGGTTCTGAGATACAGTTTGGAAGACAGGGAAGACTAGGCAGCTCCCAACTGCAGAAGAGCTGAACCCTGGCTTTCCTACTTCTTTCTGCTTTGGTTTGTAAGGACTTGTTTCTAAGCTGTGAGGTTTTGACACCTTGCTACCCTGCCCAGCATTAGCTGGGAGCCATGGTTTTAAACGTATACAGGGGTGATTAGAGGCTCTGTGGCTGTAGCACCTTCTCTTTGAACATGAGATGAGGTGGGAGTCAGCCTATGTCTCCCCATATGGAACTGTCTGGTCAGCTCCAGCCCTGGATTGGAAAAATGAATACCTGAGCACATAGCAAGGGGTCTTCTATACCTTGCACTTTATGCATAGTCATTTTTTTTAGTTTTTGCTGCAGACCTGTTTTGCAGCTAAGGAAGCAGACAATCACAACAGCTGTAATTTGCCCAAAGATGCATAGCTGAGAGGCAGCTGTTTGCAGTAATTTGATGCTGAGTATGGAAAAATCAATTAGCAGGCACAGTTGGAGCCACATTGCTGGGAAGAAAAAAGGACTGATCTGAGAGGATAAGGGTAAAAGCCTCAGGAAATGTTTCCATGTTCTTGTTGGCTTGCTCTGTGGACAGCTATCAAAGGGTTGTGGGGATCACCTTTAGTTGGGGAGAAGCCATTTGGTCAGATAAGGCTTTGCAGGTAGGGAGAGCAGAATGGTAAACTGGCGTGCAGCATTAGAGAGTCAGAAGATAGGGGAGTCTGTGTGTCTCCTTTGCTCATTTTAAGCATGAGTTGGTGGTGAGTGGAGTGGACCTTTCTAAAACATAATAAAATTAAAAATCAGAGCTAGGCATGGTGGTGCATTCCTGTAATTCCAGCACTCTGAGATACTGAGGCAGGAGGAACAAAAGTTCAAACCTAGTCCAGGCAACTCAGTGACCTAATAAGACCTGGTATCACCATCACCACCACCACCATCACCACCATCAAATTGTTTAAAAGGGCTGGCTCAGCAGGAAGACCCTAGGTTCAATCCCCAGAACTGGGGAAAACAAAACAAAACCTGAGATCATCCCACATAAGACAATATTCAAACCATATTGAGAATGTTACACCTTATAGAGGCCTCAGAGAATCTAAGGTCTTGCTTACTTAATACTGAAGCCAAGGTGTCATCGGGGTAAAGGAGGTACTTTCGATGACTGTGCGTTGGCCCAGAATTAGACAGCTCACTGGTCTGAATGAAGCCTGGACGAGGAGGGCTGAGTGAAGGAACCGAAGCTAAATGGAGCAGGTTCATGGGCAAGCAAGGCAGTGGCACATCTACACATTTTTGAGAAATTTACTAGAGAAGAGTAGCTGGAAAGCAGTAGGGAGTATCAACTGGGCTAAGTCAAGATTTGTAGGATTCTGGGTGTCTGGGAAATGGAAAGTAGTCCATTGTAAGGGGAAAACTGAGACTGGGAAGAAGGCTGAATGCAGGATTGAGTTCTTTCCCAGCTCTGAGATGGCTCCAGCGTTCAGACAGCAGGCCATGAGGTGGTATTCTTGTGACCTGACAGCTTTCCCTCCACTCCACCTTCCCCTGTAGGTGATTGCCGTGGTGATGGATGTTTTCACAGACATCGACATCTTCAGAGACCTGCAGGAAATATGTCGGAAGCAGGGAGTGGCTGTGTATATCCTTCTGGATCAGGCCCAGGTTGCCCACTTTTTGGACATGTGCATGGATCTGAAAGTTCATCCTGAACAGGAAAAGGTTTGTATGGTACATGGTTTGCATTTTTGCCTCCATCAACAAATATAACAGAGTTGTTTTGCAATTTTGTCCCCTGTTACAAGTGAAGGAACTGAGGCAGTGAGCAAAGTCATTTGCCCAAAGTCTCATGGCAAACAAGCACTGTTGGCCTTCTGATTCTATTCCTACGTATCTACTCAAGAGAAATGAAAGCACGTGTCCACACAAAGACTCGTGTATGGATGTTTATAGAAGCATTAGTCATACTGGCCATAGGATGGAAACAATCCAATGTTCATCCACTAACAAATGAATAAACAATATGTTATCCATTCACACAGTGGGATATTATTTATTCAGCCATGAAAAGGAATGAAGTGCTGACACATGCTACAGTGTGTACGAAGCTGAAAACATTAATGCTAAATAAAGGCAACCAATGAAAAAAATGCATTTTAGGATTCCCTTTGTAGGAAAGCAAAGACCAAAACAGGGGTATCTATGGATAGGAGTTAGACTGGCATCAGGGTTAGGATGCAGGGGAGTAGAGGGAAGGGTGGGGTAATAGCTAAGGGATAGACTGTCTTTTTAAGATGATGAAAGGGCTCTCAAATTGCATCTGATAATGGTTGCATATATCCATGAATATACATGAAAACCACAGAATTATACACTAAAGTGAGTGAATTGTATGGTATGTGAATTACATCTTGATTAAGCTGTTGAAAAGAAAAGAAATGAAGTGTTAGTCAAGCTTCAAAATCCTAGCCTCTCTCCCTCTCCTGTACTGTCTCCTAAAATGGGCAAAGCCCAGATCCATGGGTGAGACCCAGGAGGCTGCTGTGGGAGCTGCTGCTTAAGTCAGTGGCTCCACTTTCGCTCCAGTGATCACCATTTGTTGAGCTCTGTCCTGGGCACTGACTGCTCAGTACTCATGAGAAAGGTTATGTGACTGATCCTCAGCAGCCATGTAAGGAAGTGCCACTGCCCTAATGTTTTAGGTCAGGAAATGGTAACAGAGCCTAAGGGTTCACAGTACAAAGTAGCAAGCTGGGGATTTGTATCAGTCTGTCTGCCTCCAAGCCCTGTGTGCACCATGTCTGTCACCTGCTGTTGCTCATTTCTCATTAAAAAATTAGACTGTATATCCTTTTGTTTGGCAATGATACTAATTTAAGTATTTAAAGGTAAAGCTAGGGCCAGGGATTTAGCTCAGCGGCATAACCGCCTGCCCGGCAAGCGCAAGGTCGTGAGTTTGATCGCTGATACCAAAAAAAAAAAAAACAAAAACAAAAAAAAAACAAGTAAGGCTACATTAGCTGGGTGTGGTTACTCAAATTTAAAATTCCAGCTACCCAGGAGGCCAAGGCAGGAGGATCATAAATTCAAAGGCAGCTTGGGTGATTTAGCCAGATCCTGTCTCAAAATAAAAAATTAAAAGGTCTGGGAATGTAGCTCACTGTGAGAGGACTACTGGGTTCAAACTACTGAGCTCAATCATCATGACGGGGGCGGGGGGAGTAAGTCTACACACCTTAGCTGGCTTGGTCCTTTTAATTGAAGGAGGCAAGAAAAACAGTCACATTTTTATAGAATTTTTTCTTTTAAATTAAGTAACAGCCTATGAACTTTCAGAGCTCAATTTGTTAATCACCTATTTGAATATCTACTGTGTGCTACATACTATTCTAGGTACAAGAAATGAAATATTCAGCAATGTGAGCCAAAAGTTGGGCTTTAATACTATAGGCTTCTTCATGGGGGATACTAATTTACTACCTTGTTTTTAATCAGACAACTTGGTTTGCAAAGTTTTGGCTATTTAACTTCTTCCAGTTTCTTGTTTCTTTTAACGAGAAAATAGAGGCTCTCATTTAATGAGGTAGTTACTGACCTGCCATTGGTGGAAATTCATGAGGCAGATGGCATTGAGATGAGTGAAGTAAGAGAGCTATGTTACTCATCAGCCACTTAAAGATGAGATCAGGTGGAAACGAAAGCAAGGAGAACACAAGTCAGACATGGCAAAGTATACTGCTTGAGTACTGCCCCATTCAGAGCCACATAAGAAAACCAGTGGTGTCGGGTGTAATTCTAAGGCCTATCATTAAGTACATGTTAGCAGCAGAGAAGTCACAGAACAGTTCTAACCACAACTTTGATCCATGAATGGCTCTGCTTCATCTATTAGGCAGAAACCTAGGAGGATTTACTGGTTCAGTTGTCTGCTAAGTCTTAGCAGAATTGCAGCTGTCATGGTCATCTGATTCACTCTAGTAGGTTTAAAAGAGGTCTGAATGAGTGCATGGCCCGTTCCTTCAGCTTCCTCAACATTTACACTGTCTTAACTCCTCCTAGGGAGGCACCATCTTCCCTGGTTGCTTCTCCCACCCGAGCACATCTCTGCCGCTGAATCTGTGCCTTACTGAGTAGGGGCTGATTTTGCCCCACCCTGGGCTGTATGGCTGGTTGAGTGCTAGGTTATCTGGTCTGCAAGTGCTCAAGAGTGCTTTAGCTACAATTAGAGAAGCCTGCACGTGTTCAGATAGCCATTAAGGGAAAGATGCACAAAGCCACACCTGAGACTCCCCGTAGTGGTGTTTTCATGCTTATTCTTGTATGTTGATCCTTACTACTCAGCTCAGGAGTCGTGTCCTCCGGGAAGACCTCCTCCTGCCAATTCCATTGTACTTTTCTGAAATTTTTTAGCTTTAAAAAAAATTATCTTAAGATAATTTTAAGATTTATAAAGAAGTTATAAAATAACACTTGAATTTTTTGAATATTTTTTATCCAAATTTTCTAAATGTTAACAACATCTTATGAACTTCTAGACAAATAACAAGGCCAAAAACAAGCTTTGTATAATACTATCTAATCTACAGACTTTATGAATTTAACCAATCCACAAACTCCTTATTCTGGATCACACCTTGTGTTTAGTTGTCAGGTCTCCTCAGCTCCTTTTAATTTGAAGTTGTTCTTTCATCTTTTTTTTTTTTCCTTTTCCTTCTTTTCTTTTTATCTTTCAGGTCTCAATGCTTTTAAAGAATACCAGCTAGTTTTCTGTAGATTGTGGGTTTATTTTATCTGATGTTTCCCCATGGTTCAATTCATTTGATAAGAATACTACAGAGATGATAGTATATCTAGCCATAGTTTGTTTTTCACTGTTTGTTTTGAAATGATGAAAGATTCAGAGTTACAAAGATAATAAGAAAAGTTTTGTGTGCCTGTCACTTAGTCTCCCCAATGGTTATATCTTAGGTAATCAATAGTACGATATCAAGCCCTGGAAGCTAACATTAGTGCAACGTGTGTGTACGTAGTTCTGAGCCTCTTATTTCCCATGCACGTTAAACACAGAACTGTCCATCACCTCAGAGATCTCCCTTGTACTGCACCATTATGATCCTGTCTCTCTCCTTTCAAAACCCACCACTATCTTTAACCCTGCCAACCTATAATTTGTTTTCCGTTTCTGTGATTTTGTAAGTGGAATCATACTGTATGGGACCTTTTGAGGCTGACCTTTTTCACCCAACACATCCTTGACATTGATCTAAGTTGCTTCATATACCAGTAGTTTGTTGTTCCGTTTATTATTGAGTAGCATCACATGGTGGTGCCACAGTTTACTCACTCACTCACTGAAAGACGTTTAGATACTTTTCAGGTTTGGGTTATTATAAAGAGTTGCTATGAATATTCATGTAGAGGTTTTTACGTAGACATAAGTTTTCATTTCTCTGTTTGATGTTATATCTTGCTGTAGGTTTTAAATTATTCAGTTACTTTTCTGTCTCATACTCTAGTCCTGAGGCCAAGAGGCATGCCTTATAGTGCGTTGTCTCAGTGCTGGGAGCATGGTAGGGGATTCTTTGTGGAATGCTTAAGAGTCAACAAACAATCTTAAACATTTAATTTGAATGTGTAAGATTTCTAATAATATATAAATTCTAGTGTGTTGTAAGCTTTTGAGAATGCATTATTATAAGCTAGGCAGGGTGACACATGCCTGTAAGCCCAGCACCTGGGAGGTTGAGGTAGGAAAAGCACAAGTTTCATCCCAGCTTGGGAACATAATGGCTTAGTCAAGGTCCTGTCTCAAAACAAAACAAAAAAGCAGATTTTCTTATTTTGCATACCATTTTGTATATGTTTTACACATACCATTTTACAGGACCAGTTATGCATACAAATGCATAGTGTATTGCTAGTGCACTTTTTAGTAAATACATACTTGTAAAAGATGGAACTTGCTGGTTAAGCCCCATGTGAGGTATTTGTGGCTTAGCAGTCCAATGATAGAGAAAGCTCATACTTTGTTTCTTTCTTCCAATCTCTCATAAAGTGGGGGTCTGTTGGAGTGGGCAGCCATTAAGCAAAGAGTAGGAGAAGTACCAACTTTGCTTCACTGAGCCTTTTTTAAAATGTTTATTATTAGCATCTTTTCTTCCATGCATATGTTCTCTACTTTTTGTTTCAAAATTATTTCTTAGATTCTGTTAGTCTCCTAGAGAGGTGAGTCTTTTACAGCACATGTAAACATGAACTAAAGGTTTCAGAAGTAAACATAAGAAAATGACAGAGAGAAGACGGATCACTGTAGAGGTAACATTACCTGAGTAATACCTGGCTAGCACACTATGTGTATTGTTACTAAATGGTGACCCTAAGCTCCACATGTTGTCAGCAAGTCTATTTAGGAATTAAAACTAACAAGGCCTCTGGCTTCCTCCTTTGGTCATTCAATGAGTGTCACTGAGTTGTTCATTGATTTCTCTCCCACTCCCTCACCAACAGCTGATGTCAGTACGGACTATTACAGGAAATATCTATTATGCAAGATCAGGAACTAAAATTATTGGGAAGGTTCATGAAAAGTTCACTCTGATTGATGGCATTCGAGTGGCAACAGGCTCCTACAGGTATGTCTCTAACAGCTGCATCACTTATTAATCTGAACTCTTTAGATGAAGCGTGTCACACCAGGATAAAAGCCTTTTGTTCCTCTCAATGAGAGCCTCTGGGGCTAACTGTTCCCATGTGTGCACCTGTGTGTGTGAGTAGGTTCATCAGCCCCCTCCCATTGGAGGTAATTGGAGTGGGGAGTCATGGTCCTATCCTGTAGTCAACAGAACTATACAGAAGTTTCCTTTGCCTCGAGGCCACACAGTAAGGGCATCCTATAGTGAATCCTTGGCTCAGTCCTACGGGATGAGCAACTAACAGAGCCTCCAATCCAAGTTTCATGGAGATGTAGACCCCACGTGCCCTACTCACATGAAGGTAAGGGCAAATGCAGGCACTGGCATCAATGTGGAAGACAGACATGAAACTGCCACCCTAAGACTTAGCTCCTCCATGCTTCAAGCCTTTATAAGTTAATGCTTTTGTCCAGAAAATATGGGTCATGTTTCCAACCCATCTTTGAACTCTCTGGCAATGGCATTTTCATGTAGAGAGCAGGCAGTTTGAATGGGGATGGCGATAAAGAGAGATTAACATAATTTCCTTGCCATTGCTACTCGTATGGCTTATGGTTGTGCGTTTTGGCACCTCTCCCTTAGATTGTCTGCTGGTATGCAATTGCACCTACAGATGTGCCTGTAAAGTTTAGAAAAGAAAAACTCACTTGAAGAAACAGGCATTCCTGAGCAATAATTATGTGTCAGCCCTGAGTTTATGGAAGATGAACAAGAAGAGAAAGAAGCAATAGCTAGGCGTAGTGGCACACACCTGCAACTCTAGCACTTGGGAATCCGAGGCAGGATGACCATGTGTTCAAGGCCAGCTGGGGCAACTTAGTGAAACAACAATACCAACAAAAACCAAAACTGCTTTTGATATGTTCCTTTTCAATCTGCACTATCATTGCTCAGAGCAGAATTAGAACTCTTTGTGACTTCTTTAGTTTCAGAAGGTATCTAGCTTTCCCGCCAAAGTAGGATTTATTCATACTAATATATCCAAATGGTTTTTTAGCTGTTCTAAAATCTAAAGAATATAAAAATTACTCTCTGCAAATGAAATGTGCTTCCATTGATGATAATGATGATGATTATAGTCCTGGTGTTGGGTGGATGCTTTGTTTATATTACATCATTGAGGTTTTCAAAAGAATCATTCTTCTCAGGCACTGAGGGCAATTCTCCACAGCATTTGCATTAGGTAAGGCTTTTGTTTACAAGAGACAGAGTTGGCTGAGCATGGTGCTATATACCTGTGGTACAAATCTGTATCAGTGAGATAACTGCAAGTGTCCAAAAGCTAAAACAAACTACTTTATGTAGAATCTTAACTTTATCAGCTCCCACAGCTTGGAAGTAGAGAAAGGTACATTTGGTTTTCAGTTCAACTTGACCTGTGGACTATTCAGAGCACTATTTTCCTGATTCTGCTTTTTACTGGCTGATCTTTGAAGATAAAAAGTCTGGCTTACATTATCTGTAGTAGTAGAGATTCTCGTTCAACACTGGCATCAAATCTGAAAACTTAATGGCCCTGGGGAGGCGGGAGGAGTCACATGCCTACCCCGAATGTCACTCTCCAGCCAACGAGATAATATTCTGGCCAGCCTTGCTTGTATCTTATTCCAATTGAGGTGAAGAAAGGTATATGCATGAACCTTTTCTTGGGCAGAGGTGAATGTAGGTTGTTATCAGAGGCTGGACAGGCAGGGGTACAGCTCTGAATGTGACTTCAGCACTGATATCATTGTTAGAATAAGTCATCATCCTTTCTGAAAACAGAAGAGGTAGCAAAGAACATGGCACTAATGATTTGGTAGGAGAAAGAAGTTGAATCTAGGGTGCTGTGGTGTCTCTAGCTGGTTTCATTACCTTTAAAAATACTGGCCCAGATATTTGAGAATCCTTTTCTTATTTTTAAAATGTCAAGGTTGAGAGGTCATGCTGGTCTGTGTTTCTCCATTTTTGTTGACATATGTGTGTTTTATAAACCTGTAAATGCAAGTTGAATTCACACTAAATGGTACATGCTGAAGCTGTGACTCTCATACGGCAGGCCTATCTGAGCTTTATTATTCAGATTGACAATAAGTAACTTCAAATTCTTCATTCTTACCAGTTTCTTTTTGTTTTTAACCCTTCAGTTTTACATGGACAGATGGAAAATTGAATAGCAGTAACTTGGTTATTCTGTCTGGCCAAGTGGTTGAACACTTTGACCTGGAGTTCCGGATCTTATATGCCCAGTCGAAGCCCATCAGTCCCAAACTCCTGTCCAACTTCCAGATCAGTGGCAAGTTTGATCATCTAGTGGACCAAAAACCACTGACCAAGGAGCTCACACTGGGCAACCTGCTGCGCATGCGGTTGGCCAAGCTGTCAAGTACACCCAAGAAGACCACTCTGGACCTAGAGGTTCCTGTGGAGGACACAGCAGAGCCCAAGCCCCGTGACTCTGTGTCCTCCACCATTAGCGAGGAAGACTACTTCCACAGCCACAGGGATGAACTGGGGGACAGCAAGGCGGTTGATGCTGCCACCCAGACAGAGCCAGAAGCGGAGATGACAGCAGTGAGTGTGAGTGAGATGGGAACACAGACCAGCACGGGCACAGCCTGTGCCGGAACCCAGACCACCATCGCCACCAGAGCATCAAGCTCCCAGACCATGGTGTGGTCCAAGTCAACCACCACACAGACTGACACAGATGAGAGTAGTCACTTTTCTCAGGGCACACAGTCTAAAGAAGGATCACCTGTATCAAAAATGTCAGTGTCAAGATCCTCCAGTTTGAAGTCATCATCTTCTTTGTCTTCCCAAGGTTCAGTGGCAAGCTCCATTGGTTCCCACACTTCCCTCCGATGCCCTGACTTCCACACTCCTGGATACTCAAAGTACCTAGGCAGCCCCCACCTGGACCTGTGCCTGAGGGACTCACTCAGAAACTTGAATCAAGAGAGGCAGTTTCATTTCGCTGGCATCAGGTCCCGACTCAACCACGTGCTGGCCATGCTCTCGAAGAGAACATTCTTTGCCGAAAACTATTTTGACTTTAAATCTGGAAATTTCACCAGAGCATCATTTAAATTGATTGATATTAGAGACACAGTAGTTTATCCTTCCTATCAGTGATTGCTCTGTGTTGATTCCTGGGTCTGCCATCCTGTGGCAGATGTCACTACAATTTCCTGCTTTCAAAAACCTTGCATTTCTGAGTACGTTTCTCTCAACTCTTAGTCCCTTTGGCTGTCTAGAATTCTATCCTGCACATTTTTTTTACATGCTTTTATTTTTTTTCCTATAGAAACCAGGTATTGGTTTTATGGTTGAAACACTATGGGTACAGTTTTGTTTTGGCTTTTTTTGCACAATTCCAACAGATATTTAAGAGAATGTTTAGAGTTTAAGGTTAATTCAATATTAGATAAAGTATTCTACATTTTTCTTGATTTGTATGCTTTTCTGTCTTAGGGATTTGAGTCACCACTGTTTTTATAGTCAAAATCTTGTTTGGGGTTAAAAAAAAAAAAAGAACAACTGTTTCTTAAATGTTTATTTTTAGAATATCTGTGTTATTAACATTAAATAAATTTAGACAACTTTGGTTGAAAGTTTGAGTACTTTTTAAACTTTATCAGGGGACATTTTTCTTTTTTGACTCTAGAAGTATATCACAAATAAATGCGCCAAATAGGTACCTGTGAAATTTTCTTTTCTCATAGGATTGGTGTAGGAAGAAATAATGATCCATATTGTAAAAGCGAAAACATAGTCAGCATTCGGGCCATCCTATCTTTGGCATGATGAAGATTGACATTACTCTGTGTTTGAATGAGGACACCTGCCAGCAATAGCAGTCCTTTACACATGCTCTGGCTTTTCTGTTTTCAAAACAAAAGCCTGAACTGTTGCAGCGAGCACCTTGGTTCGTTCTGTGCTTCCCTGCCAAAGAGGCCTGGGTGTGCGTTCTTGGATGTATGCCTGCATAAACTCTAGTGGCCCCATGGGGGCCTAATTTCATCAGATGGGTGTACTGACATGATTTAGCAATCTTGTATCTCAGAGTAAGGGCAAGAGGACACTAACAATTATCCCAGATTCCTAGTCCAGTGTCAGGCAATGTAACTGGTTTCTACATCCTGCTAATCAAGATTGGTGTGGCTGTGGAATCCTATTTTTATTGAGTCTCATTTAGGTGGACAGGCAAAAGGAAGAGTTAAAGAATGGCTTCCTCCTCCTATCTTACTAGAGCGAAATTGTTCTGTGATAGAGAGGGTGTTGTCTGGCATGTCCACTGCTGATAGATGTGGATTAGAAGCATGCCTGAAGGTTGTTATCTGTGTTCAGGATCACTGGAGGTGACCAGGATATTTGCTGGGTTAGTGCTATGATCTTTGGCTGTGAAGCAGTTAATAAGGAATTGGCCTCTGTCTGGCTATAAACAACTCTGGGTTAAGGCTCAAATAGGCAAAGTGTTATTTGAAACCATTTTGCAGATTTAGGTCATTTTATATGTGCTATTTTAAAAACTTCATAACAGTCAATCCCTACATAAGTTAGAAATTATGGTTCCCAATTTTCTGATGAAACTGAGGCTCAGATTAAGTAGGACATCCAAGAGTATTTTGGCTGGTAAATGATGGCACAAGATACTGCACAGGTTTCCACATTCTAAATTCAGCCTCTGCCACGTGACTTTTCTCTCCACTGGAAGCACTGGAGTATGTTCTATGTACAATGGCAGCTAATGCAGGGTGAAAGAAAAGCACACACAGTTTCATGCACAAACAGGTATAAAGCCCTGATTTGTGATAATGATTTTAAATTCTGTCTCAAATTGTAACTGTGTTCTATGGAGTTGTTAATAGGATTACAGTGAACCCTTGACTTAGGAACTCAAGTTCATGCTCGAGGGCTGGTAGTAACTCAAGTTGTCAGTTGAAGGCTCAGGCTCCTCTACACAGCTTTCAAAGTCTCTGCTGTACACAGGAAGATCTCAGTGCCCTTTGACACAGGCCCCATTTCTCAACTAACCCCATACGGGAAAGGATGTTGTAAGGTTCCTTCCAGGATTCTTTAAGGGTTAAATCTGCATCTGACCATCTAGAAGCACAAGCAGCCGACATTCAGGGTTATAACTCAAGACCTTGGTCATAAATTTAAACTGAAATTCCAAACTGGGAGCGGAGGCGCACTTCTAGAATCCCAACACTTGGGAGGCTGAGGCAGGAGAACTGTTTGCAAATTGCAGACCAACGTGGGCTACAATTGAGCCCAAGGCCAGCCTGAACTGCATAGTGAGACTTTATCTCAAAAAAAAAAAAAAGATAAAAAACAGTAACAAAACAAAACAAAACAAAAAAAAAACCCCACCAAAACCAAAAACCTCTGAAATTCCAGCCATAGCCCAAGTTGATCATATGTCAATGTACATTTTAGAAGTGCTATGTTGGTGGTGAGCCAAATGAATTGAAGCAGGGTTGCTTACTCACACTTCTCATGTGATATGAGGGTCAGTGAATTTCTTAGCAGGGCAAGGACATGGCCTGTCACACAGTACCTGGCCACACAGCCCTCTTATTGTGAGCAGGACTCAAAAACCATTATTCTCCAAAATCACTGCCAACAGTTAGAAGTAAGACCAAGAGTTACATGGAACCCTAAAAAAATGGCTTAGGCTCTCACAATAAGCTTCTCTGGAACTTAGGTCTCAAAAACATCACTGTATCTGTTTCTCAAAATAAAATCTGAAGAGCACTTGATCAGAATTCACTGGGGTGCTTGTTTAAAATGTTGATTATTAAGGGATGGGAATGTAACTTCAGTGGTGAGGAGCACACTGAGCCCCAGGTTTAATACTCTGCACTGCACAAGAAAAAAGAAGTTGATTATTGGCTCCCCTCTGAGGGAAGGGAAGGATAAATGTGACAGACTATGTAGTTCAAAAACTAATTGTACTTCCTCAGCAGCATACTATAAGTACTGTATTTCTCTGTCAGTCTGTTGTCAGACAGCCACTACAGACTCGGTTATAAATATTTTAGGATACAGCTCTAAAAATAACTGTCGATGTCGCTCCTGGCCGGCAGGAAGGACACACGACAAAGTCTGGCAGTGGACAACCTTTTCTTTTATTTTCCTTCTCCGTACAGCCTGCCCTGGGATCGCTCCCAGCCGAAGCCTCCTTTGGTCCGCTCCCCGCGGCTCCTTCTGGGCTTCTACTTCCGGGCTTCTTCTTCCCCCCAGGGGTGGCACCAGTATATATACGGATACAGTGTCCAATCATGTTAAAGTGAGCAAGGCAAGCTGATTGGCTAACATCATCAGTTGCCAGGCAGACTATATTGTTGAGCGGGTTGCTTACGCGGTAAGCAGGAAACTAACGTGCTCGATGGGAGGGGTAATCTACCTCAGGCTTTACTCTTTACTACAGGCCTCACGTCCGCCAAGTGAGGCGACTGGGCTCGGGACTGCGGCTCCCAACATCTCCCCCTTTTTTATTTTTTTTATAAATGTGCGCATCGTAGCCCTTCCTGGACTGGGTGCAGAGGCTTATGCCCTATGCGTAGGCCCACCGTAGGTCCTTGGCTTAGACCCTGGTCGGCCGTCCCATGGTCTGCCAAGGCCCTGAGGCCCTCGTCCTTTTTCTAGGGCCAGGCACAAACTGGACGGAACCTGGATGCACACAAGCTTGCACTCATTTCCTCTCCGTAAAGAAATCCCCTCGGAGAGAAATTTAGACCTGGGCAGCATCTAACAGTCCAGCGGCTTACGTGCAGGATGGGGTAGGGCCTGGCTTAGGTTGAGTCGCACCGGGGGAGTACGCTCTTACCCGTCATTGACTCTCCTACCCAGCTATGTCATAATTTTTTAGAGGAGGAGTGTGGGAAGCTCACCACCCCTAGACTCGGTCGTAGGCTAGGCGAGCGAGCCATGCATATGCCTGAGGATCTTTTTGTCCATTTCGGGCTACCGCTATTTCTATTCATCTTGTTGGTTGGTCTGTGATGGATCTCCGGTAGGGCAGGTCTGATCTTCAGTCGAGGGCTTTGTCGCCCGTGTCAGTCTCTCCGATACCCACAGTGGTTCTCGTCCCGATTCCTGTGGGAAAACACAAACCGCGCCTCGGTTCCAGCTGACCACTGGATCCGGGCCCATCCATTGTCCTGTCAGGACATCTTTCCACTTCACCCACCCTTTATGGTTGGGGGAAGGGTTGCAGTGCTCCACGGCTGGGGAGCAATTATCATTATTTAAATTTAAAAAATTGTGTGTGAATAGTGCCATGGATAATCGTGCCTTTGGGGCCAGGCCTTGGCCTACTCCCCCTTTTTGTTTTTGTAAAATTTCTTTGAGGCTTCTATGAGCCCTCTCAATGATTCCTTGACCTTGGGGATTGTATGGGATACCATGTTTTAATTGAACCTCCATCATTTTGCAGAACTCATTGAAGGCTTTGCCTATATAGGCTGGTCCATTATCAGTTTTTAATATTTTTGGTTTGCCCCATGCGGCCCAAGCCGCCAGGCAATGATTGATCACATTAGACACTTTTTCACCTGTTTCTGCTGTTGTGAATATGACGTGAGAACAGGTGTCTGTGGAAACATGAACATATTTAAGAGTCCCAAACTCCTGTATATGTGTGACGTCCATCTGCCAAACATCACCAGGGATCAAACCTCGAGGGTTTACTCCCATCGGTATGGCAGGTTTGTATGTGGCACAGGAGTCACATAGTCGCACGATATCTCGTGCATCTGCTCTGGAAACATGGAAATGGTTTGCTAGTGTCCTGGCATTGACATGAAACTTATCATGGAAGGCACGGGCTCGCTCGATTGGTGTTAGTAAGGTAAAAATCCATAACGGGCGAGTGGCAGTATCAGCAGCCGCATTCCCCTGTGCCATGGGCCCCAGCAGGGATGTATGTGCTCTTATGTGGGTGGTGAAGACCTTATGGTGTCTGTTCTGAAGCAATGTCTGGATAGACAGGAACAGCCCAGCCACTGTGGAAGTGGATCTAATTAAACCGGCAGTCTCAAGCACTTGCATAGCATTGACCACATACCTAGAATCGGAGACAATATTAATGGCTTTTGAGAACCGTTCAAGAATCATTTTAACGATCTGCAGTTCCACCACCTGAGGCTGATCAGGTTCAAATTGTATGGTAACCGGGGGCTTGCCTAGGATCACATAGGCGCCTATCCCCGTCTTGGAGCCATCTGTGTATATTGTAGTTGCTGGGACTAATGGCTCAGAGGCAGTAACCTTTGGAAAAATTATAGGGTGCTGAGTGACAAATGACAAGATAGGGTCTTTAGGGTATTGATTGTTTATATCCCCATGGAAAACACATCTCAGAATGGCCCATGTATCTATGCAGGCAGCCAGGGTCTTGATCTGGCTGGCGGTATAGGGTACTTGGATGGCTTGTGGTCCTGAGCCAAAATGTTGGACAGCTCTATCATGCGCTTCAAGGGCCAATGAAGCGACTGCCTCCGGGTAATGCTCTATGACTTTTGCAGGTGAGACCTTAGGGTGTATCCACAGTAATGGTCCTTTCTGCCAAATCACCGCTGTGGGCTGTAGACTAGTCTGTAGCAAA